TTACCAAGGGTTTTAGCTGTTATAGACGGTTTGCAAAAGGTTAGAGCCTTTTCTGGAGGGTTCGTAGGAAGGTTTTATAGAGTCTTTAGTGGAAGCTTTTGGAAGTAACTCCCCCTCCCTGTGGTGCTGTGGTCCTGTGGCCTGGGTCCTGTGCTGAGGGTTTATAGAGGGTTTGCAAGAAGGTCTTTAGACAAGTTTCGCGGAGAATTCATGGTTCTGGCAGGTTATACATATGGCGAATTTCCCAGATGGGGACCATACTATGCAAGAGGAGGGGGGTGGGGAACCCGAAGCGGGGACGCATATACCCATATTAAGTAATTTACTTCCAGTCCCTTAACAGCAACCCAGTATGAGTGCCAGTCAGAATTGGCCTTCAAACCCTAAACCTTTAACCCCTAAACCCTGAACCCTACACCCTTAACCCCGGCACCCGGAACCTTCGACCCCTAAACCCTGAACCCTAGAACCCTAAACCTTCAAGCCCTTAAAACCCAAACGGGATTGCCGCGAAGCTCAAAGTACCTCACACTTCAGCATTCTTCATTTGAGCAGACATTCTGAAGCAGGGTGGAGTACCAGTGCCGATGACACTTATAGGGAAAAAAGGGTCTAGGGTTTAGGGAGATATGCGCACACTGCATAGGTATATATCTGGATATTAGAGTGTAGGGTTTAGGGGGTTAAGCACAACTTCTTGGATGACTTGTGTGGATAGTTCCGCATTCTCTATGAAGCACGGGACACATGGAACGATTCAAACATCCAAACTCGACTCGCAAGCTAGGAACACCTTGAATTCAGTGGCTCCCCTACTACGTCCACCCCATAAGTTCTCCCTCAATGAGGGTCCTGCAAGCATGGTTAGAGGGAGGGCGGGGAGGATAAGTTGGCCTACCTAGTACAGTAGGGGAATCCATGATAAATCCGAAGATTAGAGCCATGTTAAGATAAACTAGGACCCTAGACACCAAACCCTGGTTTTGGGTTTATGGATTGGGGATCAAGCCCCGAAGCCCTAAGCCTTTGCCAAGGGTCCAATGCGTCGGATCAAGAATTGCAGTCATGTGCTGCTGCTGTCCTGCTAAAGGCGCTATTTCTCCTAACCCTGAGCCCTAATCCCTGAGCCCTATATTCCGCTTAGGCTTCAGGGGATCTCGATTTCCAAAACAAGACAACAAGGAGAGTTCCCGGATTGCAGGATCCTCACTGGGAGCTCCATGGGGGTACTAGAACCTACCAACAATAAAGTTAGGGGTAGGGATTTTGGGTTTAGGGATCAGGGCTTAGGGCAAACCCTAAAGGGGACTCAGACTGTCTAGGATTAGGCTGAAACTAGCGCGGAACAAGGTCGCCATTTTGTTCCTGTGGCCTGCGGCATCCATTGCCTTTGCCGGTGTTTCCAACCTCGATGAACCCAGATCATCCAGGTCTAGTGATGATGTGGGGGTTTCCCGAATCTAGTGTACTTTTTTGTGGGTCGCCAATAAGGACCATAGCATTTTATTTGGGGTCCATGTTAGGCTACCCGCCACACAACATGGCCGCTATGGCCTGGGATTTCTGCTTGCTGACGGTGAGGGCTACATCTGCTGATGCACGCCGTCCGCAAGGTTTAGGGTCTAGGGGCTCATCTGCAATGAGCGGGTTTGGGCTACCACAACCCGCAAAACAAAGGCCACCCTATCAGATCACTGTTGCAGGGCCCCTTATTGATTTGAACGAGTCTTCCCTGAGCAGCCCCAAACCCTGACCCATGCTCTTCACAAGCTCCCTAAACCCTAAACCCTGAACCCTAAACCCAACCCTACACCCTGTAGGGTTTTCGGCATGCTTTCTGTGCGTGGCGCCCAGTGGAGGGATCTACAGGCTCCCATGCAACTTGAATCCCTACATCCTGAATCCTAGATCCAAGTCCTAAATCTATAGAGCTTTCAGGCCTGGAATCCTAAAACAAAACCCCACCCCGGAATCCTGAATCTACCCCGACACCAAAAGTAGGTAAAACAAATATGGCCCCAACCACCAGAGGGCAATGAATCTACTTACGTTTGGGGTCCAGGTACTGTCTATAACCCCTATAGTACCCTATATAACCCCTACATAACCCATTATAGCAGTATCCATTTTCTTTTGAATTTTCCCTATCTAACCCTGATAAAAACCCTAAACCCTAAACCCTCCCGATATACTCCCTTTAAAGGATACTGTCAATCCTTACCTTTCGGGGTGTCCTCCACCAGCAACTCGCGAGAAACCGGACTGTACCTGGGCTGTCTCTCTCACACACACACAAGGGTTTGGGAAAGGTAAACTCATCCATTGGGGTGATATTAAGGTCAGATTGGGATAATGGAAAATAAATTGGAAACTACTCACACACGCATACGAAGACACGAGGTACCGAGAACCCTCAGAGCATCTAGGGTTTAGGGTTTGAGAGCATAAGACCCCAAGAAACAAAAAGTCCGACCCGGTATGAAACAAAACCTCCTGAGGTATCAAATGCCTAAACCTTAAACTGAAATCGTAAACACTAAAAAAATAAAGTGGTAGTTTCCCAAAGTAGGGGGGCCCCAATATAGGCCCCAAAATACTATAGTCCTTATTTCTGGGACCCCCAAAAGGTACCCCTAGTTTTAGGAACCCCCCAAGTCACCACATGTGTCTCTTCCAACTCCTGCGCAAGCGCCACAATCGTGCCTGGCCTGTTTGCCATGGTCGCGCAAACCCTGTGATTTCAGAGCTTCCCAGCTGTCCTAGGGCACTACGATGCTAGCGGCTGCAGGAGCACGACTCTAAAGGAGGGTTATATAGGATTTAGGGTTTAGGCTTTAGGGTCTAGTTCTTGAGGTCCGGAACTTACTAACTTAAGGTTCTGGTTTAAGAGAAACTGACAGAGGTGCTGTTTCACCCCTAGTTGGATCGAAGTGGCTCGCACCGGATGGTCGACTGCAGAAAGACCACAAGTAGATACATTCCACACAGCGTGCTACTTTGATTCATGGGAGCTCCCTACAGCAAGAGTATGTTAGCAATGACTGCATCGGATCATGATGCCTCGGAACGACTGCCACAAATGTAGAAACTGTTGATAAAAGACATCCTGCATCACCTTAAATCCCCTAAGACCTAGGAATCGTAGTAATTCTGGGGTCCTTGGTGGTGCAGCATGTCCTCCACCAACCCTGAACCCTCGGCCAACCACAGACAATGGACCCTTAAGGATAGTTACGCCGTGAACCCTTCCCTGAAACTGTACCTGGTGCACAGCCCTGCTGTGAGGTCCTCAAAAGTTAAGGGCTTTGGGTTTAGGACTTAGGGCTTAGGGGCCTTAATGAATACCCTGAGTGCCCCCTTACAATGGCGAAAATCCGTAAACCCTAAGCCCTTAAACCCTAAACCCTTAAACCCTAAACCCTAAACCTTGAACATCAACGTTACCGATATCATGTTGAGGTCGGTTTGAGGCACACCGTAACCATTCAAGGAACCCAGGAGCAAAGTATGATAATCCTCTAGGCCCCTACACCACGCTGCAAGAACACTGGCGGCGCAAGTAAGACCTCAACCTTGAACTCAAGCCTTTCGCCTAGATTTGCAGATCCACCAGTAGCAATACATCTGGAAAATCTCAGACCTTAAAAGCTTACAATTACAATTTAGGGTTTACCTGGACCCCAAAAGTATGTAAACATAATGGCTTTTATGGCTGTTATTATGGGTTTAGGGCTATTATTTCACGTTCAGGTAGGGTTTAAGACCCTAAACCCTAAACCCTAAACCTTAGTTTAAGGTATCCCCAAGACAAGGTCTCAAAACCCTGCACTCCTGGAGCCCGGCAATCTTAACCTCTGAACTCGCACCTTGCGTGACACTTCGCCTACCCCAGAAACAGCTCAAAAAGGTACCTCCCTGGACACCAAAAATATGTAAAATAATGGCCTGTATGGCTGTTATTATGGATTTTGGGCGATTATTTTGCATACCTTTAGGGTTTAGGTCCTTTACAAATGGAAGAAGAGCCCCAAAAGTATCAAAGTGCCCAAGCTGCAGTGAAGCACCATCCACTCCCCTATCATAGAAACACCCCCAACACCTGCTAATTCATCCCCCTACAAAATGGTACTACATGCGACTTAGAGTGTACGGTTTAGGGTGTAGGATTTAGGGTTTCGGGTGTGGGGATTAACTTGTTATTTGGGTGGTTGTCAAAATTATGGTCCTTTTTGGGTACCCTAATAGAATACGGCACCTAATATTTAGGGTACCCAAAAAAAAGAACCACATTTTTGACAACCACCCATTTGCAACTTCAGTGCTTTGGTCGTTGGCGGGAAAGGGTTCGTCAGCTTAAGGTCGTTAACCAAACCCAGCGAAGATCGCACCGTAGCTACGCAGTTAAGGTTTAGGGTTGAAGGTTTTAGAAAAGATTCTAGTTGATTCTATTATATGATGTTAGACCAAGTTTAGACAGCCTTCTATAGATCTAGATTTTCATTGGGCTTTGATTGCCTTTTGCTAGATTTCCATTGTCTTTGGTTTTAACCAGATTCCCCATAATGGGGCGATTTAATTAGGTGAGAGAGGGGGAGACGTTTACTACTAGTGGCAAACGATTTTTACCATGGGTTACCTTACCGCTCCCGGGGTTGCCAGTTCTAAGCTATAGCTCACGTACTTTTGGGGTTCAGGTAGGTTTTAGGGACAAGAACCTGCTGAGCTTCCACCCAATTCTCTCGCTTGGCCATTGCTCACAATGGTGGGTTCCAGAAATCTTGTTCCAGGAGCCCTTAGATAGGCTTAGGGTTTAGGGTCTAATTTCTTGTGATTCCAAAGTAACTTTAAAGTTCAAAGGCCCTCACGTTGCATGTGTCCTGGCAACCCCAAAACAAGCCCCCCGCTTAAAACAACAAAAGCTTAACTCACAAACCCTAAACCCAAAACCCAAAACTCTAAACCCTAAATCTTACTCATCCCAAGCTCTAAACCCGGTCCACCTCGCTGGGGTCTTCTCCAGCATTTCGTGCAATCTGCCTGATAGGAGCCTTCGACTGGGTTTGGGTTTAGGGCCAGTAGGGTGGTGGGCCTCTAGCTGCGTAAACATGGGGTTAAAGGCACCAGGTTCAGGGTCTAAGGCGTAGGGTTTGGGGTTTAAGGTTTGGGGCTCAAAGTTCAAGAAGGATCATGGTTACCAGTAAACCCTAAAACCTAAACCCGCTTAGGGAATCCAAGGGATAGATGGGAATCTAGAGGGTGAGCATGGGGAGTCCTTTTTGAGGACCCCGGTTGGGGTTTTCTGGGAAATACCCACATCCCTAAACACTAAACCCTAAACCCTAATCCGTAAGACCTAATCCCTAAACCCTAAACCTTGAACCCCAATCCCTAAGCCCTTGAGATTGAAGGGCGACTATCACCATCCACAGGATTCGGAAATAACGAAATTCCCAAGATTTAGGGTTTAGGGTTTGGGGATTAAGGTTTAGGGAGCAAGGTTTGGCGGAATGGAGAAGATAATGAACAAACTGAACGGAAACTAGGGAGTATAGGAGCTATATGACTCAAACCCTAGTATCCCCTTAATCACTTACACTATAGCTCACTCATATGAGCCATTGCCTAAACTCTTAATATCCCCCTAAATCATCCCTATAGTAGTCCCCTATATAATCCCCTATATAACTCCTCTTAGGGAATTTAAACTATAGCCCTTATGGGGTCAGGAGGCTATGGCATGTCGGCCCCTCAGGAAACGATCCATCTCCGCCGTCAACAGTATCTGGAGCTTTGGGTTGGGTTCTAGGTTTCGTTGCTATTTGGCTAGGTTTGGGGCTTGACGTCATAGGTTTGAGTTGAGCTGAAACCCTCCCCCAGCAACTGAACTCGGAAGCGTAAGCACTAAACCGCGAGACTTGAACCCTGAATGGCCCTAAACCCTAAAATCTAAACCCCCAGCCCCAAATCCTAATGCCGAGACACACCGGTGTGTGTATACATATATATATATATACGTGTGGATATCCATATAATGAAGCATATGGTGTCCTTCGCAGCAGTAGCTCATTTCAGGCTCCTTACCACTAGTTTGGGCTTCCCGGCCTCCCCCAGGAGTTAAAAAAGAAGTAACCTTTTATGTGTAGCGGGTCCGAGGGAATTACTAGTAGTGTTACACCCTCTCTACGATAAGCCCAGTGATCCCCAGAATTTACCTACTTACTCAGTCTCCCTGACTCCCACAAAACCAATTAAGTCCTAGTAGGATCTCTCTATACATCCCTTACCTCCCTAATTATATACTCCTTTATATCCCTGTATACCTCCATATATCCCTGTAACTCCGTACTACATTTACTACATATTTCGGAGTACAGCCCACGAGGCTGAATTATCCACTCAAGTACGAAGGGACAGCAACTTACAAGGAATGAGGCCCTAAACCCTAAACCCTGATCCCTAAATCCTAAACCCTCAACCTCTAAACCCCAAACCCTCAACCTTACGGCCTAGGACCTAAACCCCAAGCACTAAAACCTTAAATCCTACCTTCAAAACCCAAAATCCTAAACTTGAACCCCAGCCCCCCTGGACCCTAAACCCTAAACCCTAAATCCTACACCACCCTAAGACCCTAAAACCCTAAATCCTAAACCCTAAACCCTATGTCCTGGAGTGATTTGAAGACCAACTCGGCTCCCTTCTTTTCGTCTTCAGTTCGGAGGTCCTACATGAGCTATAGTCTAAACTCCTTAAAAAGGGTTATATAGGGGATTACTATAGGGGTTATAAAGGGGGATACTAGGAGTTTAGACTATGGCTCACATGATTGCTGTTTAGGGTTTAGGGTTTGTTTACTGTTTAGGGTTTAGGCAAGCCTTTTGCGAAACACTACTTGCGGGCTTCGGATTTAGGACACGGCTTTAGGGTGAAGCGTTCGGGGCTTAGGGTTTAGGTGCTGGGTAGTATACCATCGGCCGGTGTTAGCTACATAACCAGAAAATAGAAACTATAGGACAATACCTGGTTGTTTTTTGGGCCTTGCCCTACCTAGTCTGTAAGACGCTTGAAAAATTGTGGTGCTTCTTGGGGTAACCTCAGAATTGTATGCAACAGAGGACCAGCAGAAAATCATTCTGACAACACCCAATCTGGCTTAAGACTTTATTTTTGTGTGCTGCTTGGGTCGGACTTTAAGCTTAGGAGTGGGAAGAAATTTCCGCGAAAGACCAATATCACGAACAGCAATGTTCGAACGTCATAGCAGTCGGGTTGGCAAAGGTAGAAAGGTACAGTAGCGGCGTATGTGAATCGAGAGACAGATCCACTTTCAACACCTTTAACTAATTAAGTGTGCGTATGTGTCTCCAGGATATGGGAATTTGCAACATGTACGGCTTCCAACGTCAAGGAATCCACTGTAGGGACCGGTATGGCAACAGGAACCGCGCAGCTGGGACCCTTTTAGGGTCTAGAGCAACCCCCTAAACCCTAAACCATCAGCCAAGTAGTAGGAGAGCACGCCCATCTGCTGTGACGTAGCTTTGGGTTTAGGCTTCCTAGGGTCCGTTGTCACATTGTGCTGGAGAATCGTAGGAAAACTCCAGGTTTAGGCGTTTCGTGCTCCAGGACCGCGTTGCGGTGATAACATGCAGCCAGCCATGCAGATCTCGTGGGCTCAATATGCTTCGCAATTTTAATCTAACGTTTGACCTATGGGCCCATAGTACGGGCGCTCTACTTCTGGGCTCCTTGGAGAGGTTGGCTTTAAGGAAAACATTACCGTAGGTTGCAGCATTGCAACTTGCGCTTTGCATAACTAGAACGCCCCAAATATGGACCCGAATATAATAGCCGATGTTTCATATTGTCAGGACCCCCCCCTCAGTTGTTGGAACCACCAATCAAAAAAAGCATAATCTTTCTCGAAGCTATTGCCGGAGCATCTTGAGGGTTAGATCATCACAAAGAATCTGGGACAGCAATGTTGCCAAATGGTTGGGCCCCTGCATTATGCCCCTCAACCCCTCAACCTTCCACCACCAGCTTCGTCTACCCTACCCTCAACCCTTGACATGGCAACTCCTTCTGGACTTTCTCCCGGAACTTCTCAGCCGTCAAGTACATCAGCACACTGCCGCCGCCAGGAACGATGCCCATCTCCTCTCTGGTTGAATGAAGCAAGATCATATAAGCTATAGTCTAAACCCCTAGTATCCCCCTTAATAACCCCTATAGTAATCCCCTATGTAACCCCCATATAAGGAGTTAGACTATGGATCATATTCTTATGATAAAGTACTATACCCAACCGGAGAAGGTGATCTTACCTTCTAGGGGGGACGAAAGTATGTCTTTTAAGCATGGGCTGAGATGCAGCTTACCCAGAATACTGGCATGGTTGACGCGAGTCCTGGGCAGTACTACTCGGAGACGTCTTGACATGAAAGGAGCAGTAGAAGAAGAACATAACAAATAATAGTAGGATACGCTATGATAGTAGGATGGGTATTGCTTGCAAAACGAATATGTGTCTTATGGTTCTTGTCAAGGCTAACCTGAAAGTTTGCATTACAATCGAGCATGATGGTGTCATGTCTACGCCTGTTTTGATTGCTGGTGTAAGGCCTAGGGCCTAGGGAGATCTGTCACAAACTTATTATGAGCGACTTGAACTCCACCAGCATTTGTCACATGGAAGTTTCAATGCCGCTTCCCATACCCCAAATACAGATGTTATCATCATTGTAAAGACGTGCGACAGGAAGAGCTCTAAATTTTGGGCTGGCAGCTCCACTAACGAGTTGTGCAATCACTACCCTCTCCGGGGAGACATTTCAACGCTCAAACTGAGCACAAAAGCTGCCAATCCCCAAACCCAAATCCCTAAAACCCCAAACCCCCAAACCCTTAAAACCTTAAACCCCTAAAACTTTGGGAACTTTAAGCCCCACAGTCCCAAACCACAATAACCCAAAAACCCAAGACCCTTAGAACCTTAAATTCCAAAACCCGCAAGCCCTAGAGCAGACCTTAAAACCGGAATCCGGTCTTTGCCACCAGCACCCTATACGAATCATATGATAATAATAGGTCTCCGTTTTGGGCTTGGGGTACACCAAATCCTCTTTGCGGAAGTTACGAAGGCATGTTGGAACCCCTCTCACTCTCTCTCTGATTGATGCTTCCACATCCATGTGCCTTGCTTTAAGTTCGTGAATAAGTACCAATACTGAGGTACAGCTATACAAGGAATGGAGGACGGCAAAACTGGAAATTCTTCAGGTCCTTCTATCAAGGTCAAATGTCCCAACTGTGCATGATACATGTCCCAAGTGCCAGTAGTGATGCAAGCGTCCCGGTTGTCCAGTGTGTCCCGATCGCCCCGCCTTTCCCAAGTGTAGCGACGGTTTCGCCATCTCATACTTCATCATCACAGTCCAGTTGACGGTCGAGCGAAATAGTAGCCAAACCCTAAACTCGAAGCCCTGAAACCTCAAACCCTTGAATCCCTAAACCCTCGAGCCCTACACCCTGGCTTCTCTTCAAGGATGGATCCACCGGGGATGTCGTCTGGACACCACTGTAAGTACACAGCCCTTCGGGCATTTTGAGACTGAGATCTGTCTCAACCAGATTGAGATGCAGCTGGTGCGCTACAGCCCTCACGTCACATACAGGGCAGGGCCGTCCAGCGTCTTGTTCTTTCCGGGCACGGCTCTGGTCAAATGAGCCTCTTATCGCTGCTTCCACGCTTGGAGTTTACCTGGACTTTGCCCCATTCGACATTTCTTAGGCACGGGCTATGAGCCCTGGACCCTAAATCCTACAAGAATATGGCTAGGCTTTTCCTTACCAGCAGCTGAGCCTTAATTTCAAAACCCCAACGCCCTGAAATCCTGAGACCTCTGCTCTGCGAAGGCCATTCCCTAGCCTACTGCTGGTTAGACAAGATTTGGGATTGGATGACCTAAACCTTAAACCCTAGGCAAGGCATAGGGTGTAAGGTTTTGTTTTTCTTCTCCTCCATTCCTTGTTAACCAAGGGCAAGGCAAGATGGAATAGACGAGGCTCAAATCCATCTGTCCCCAGAAAACCGGTTTCCATTTCATTCGATTTTCCAAGAAGGTGCTAATATCCCTGGAACCTCAGCCCTAGAACCCCAAACTCTAGATTCTAAACCCTGAGCCCCAGACCTGAATCTTAAATTCTAGACTCCAAACCCATATTATATATATGTATGTATAGTCCCCCTTAAGTAGATAGAATATGGGTTATATGGTGATCCTGTTAGAATATACCCCAAGCCATATTCTATCTACTTAAGGGGGACTATATACATGAACCGTGCCCTACCCAGCCGAATGCAGCCGACTCTCCGCCTCAGTTGCTCACATACCTTGCTCGCATCCCGGCACTCCTCCTGTTATTCTCCCAATATAACTTAGGTGGACCGCCCACCCAGTCATAGTGACTATAAGGAATAGTAAGGATTTTATTAAAGTCCTCTTATATTCCTATTATACTACTATTACAGGGTGGGGGTCCTCCTAAAATGTAACCCTTTAAGACAACATCGCTACATGCCCGCCCTGTCAAATTAGGCCATTCCCTACTAGCCACCTTGGCACTGCGGACAGCGCTGATTGCATCGGTGTACCGAAGCCTGGGTCTGCTTTAAAGGATGAATGTGTTTGGGTTTACGCTTTAAGGGTTAGTGTTGAGGGTTAAGGGTTTGGGATTTAGGGCGTAGGGTTTGGGGTCTAGGATTTAGGGCTTAGGGTTTAGGATTTACGAGTTTGTTGGTTTTAGATGTTGAAGGGCCCCTTTAGGGTTCAGGGTCTAGGGATAGACAGGGATTGCTATTAAAATGTAGGAGCCAGCAAAGCAAACCTCAAGAAAACCAAAACCCCAGAACTTCATGCCTGAACACTACAACCTTCTCTGAGGCACCCGTATCTGAGGTTCAAGGACCATATAACCTACGAAATAACTACAATTATGACGGTGCCTATAACCCATTTATAGGCCCCCCAAGTTAGGTTTAACGGACCCATGGACCTCCAAGTAACGAGTGCTTGAGACGGGTAGTTATTATGGGGGTGTCAAAAGTCTGTAGCTCATATGAAAGTTGCGCAAAATGCGAGCTTGCAGCCTACGGCGGTGTAGGAAGTATGCGTTTCTTTGGGGGGGACCCTCGTCGTGCTTGAGGGTAGTCTCTCACGTAGCCCGAAATAAGACATTCTTGAAACAAAAAACAATATAACCCTAATATAATACTATGGTAGTTTCCATTCTATTTTCCACTATCCCAAAATAACCCCAATATAACCCCTGAAACCCATATATAACCCCTATAATCGCCAATATAGGAAAACAGGTCTGGGTGCCGTTGGGGAGTATCCACGGCGGTGCCGGCCGCACTTCTTGTGCATTTGACACTTAACCGTCTCTAATACTGTTGACACTAAAAAACCCTGCATGACCTTAATATACTATAGCACCATAATTCCTAATGTATAAGATACTTAGGGTCACGCAGGATTGTTGGTACCCACCGTGGGTATGGCAATTGCAGCCTTAAAGGACAGGGATGGCCTGCACACGGTTAATGGATTAGAGCTGTGGAGTTTCGCGTTTGGATATGGGTGGTTGTCAAATTTATGGTCTTTTTTTTGGATCCCTACTATAATACGGCACCTAATATTTAGGGCACCCAAAAAGGGACCATAATTTTGACAACCACCCATAGGGTTTGGGGTTTGCATTTAGGGTTTACATGGAGGGTTTCCTTGCGATGACTGCCAACCTCAGTAAATCGATAGCTGGTGCCTCAAAAGAATCTTTGCAGGGGTGTGTACGAAGTGAGGGACCAGTTCCAACGAACTAGATACTACTATAGGCACCACCAAAACAGGACCCGTCATGCTTGAAGTCCTCACATCATTTCCTGCGGCAACTTGCCAGCGTTGCAGAACAACATCCCAGGTAACCGTTCCACAGCCGAGTACTAACACGGGGCCTAGTGGCCCAATTATTTATTGATATCATGGTCCTAGGTTTCTTGTAGACTTACGGTACAGGTCCCTCAAACAAGTACATGTTCACGTGCTATTGGTAGTTTTTCAGGCCTTCACATATTGGCCTTGTATGCATGTTGGGAGTAAGCAGAATCATTGTGAAGCTTTGCAGCACCTTTGACAGCCTTGCTCAAACATAGCAGAGACCTTCCACTGCCACTAAGCTAACTCGGAACCCTAAACCCTAAACCCGTAGGACAGTAATCAATCCCTGTAGGATCCTCCTGCAGGTTCCCTACAAGTTGAAGTGTTGCAAGAGGCGTCATAGAGGTCCTACCTTCAACACAAGCAAGGAGGCGCAAACCGGTTCCTTCCCCACGTACAGGGTAAACCCTGAACCCTAAACCCTATCGCCTAAACCCTAGACCCTGCACCCCAAAAATATGTAGAATAATTGCCTCTTGGGCTATTTCTAGAGGTTTTGGGCTACTTTACCCACTTTTGGTGTATAAGTAGACCCTGCACCCTATCTGGCCCCTTTCAAGCTCCATGTTCGTGTGGGAGGACACTCAGTAGCAGACTTCTTGTCGTTGACCTCCGTCTCGGTAGCGCCGCCAACCTACGAGATCAATCAAGCCCAGAGGGTCCATGTACCCAATAATTCGGTCCCTCTAAAGGGGATATGTAGGGATATATAGGGGTATATAGGGTTTAGGGTTTAGGGTCCAAGTACCCAATATTTAGGTACTTGGGTTTTGGGTAATAGTAATTATAGTGCAGGTTTGGGGGAAGTATATGACTATTAGGTACTTGGACCCTTAGGGAAGGGTTTCAGGGTTGTGCCCTTGGGTGGTACCCCTGAGTTTGGAGGGTTTAAGGTTTGGGCTTGAGTGAGCTCCACCCATTTTGGGCTATGTGGGAGTTGCAGGGGGAAGCTAATTAAGGGGTACAAACTTCAAGATTTTTTTAGCCCAGGTACCAACGGGCACCTCTCCAGCTATGACAAGTAGGTCATAAATTGTCTAGGGGAGCTTAGTAGGTTCATAGTGGGGGTAACTGGGCTTCTTATGGAGCTTATAGGTATACTAACTAAGTACCCCTGACCCTCCAAGTAAGGGCTACTCAAGCTCACGAAGCCTTGCCAGTTGGAGGGGGTCCATGCGATTGCTGGACAACATCCTGCGCGACTCTAGGTCAAATATACTCCTAAAACCCAAGCCCTGAGCCTATGACATTCCCAGGCTTCAGGAAGATAAGCCCTAAACCCTAAACCCTAGGGTCATGCGGAATGTTAGCCATGAACTATGTTGCAGTGCAGCTTGTAGCTCCATGCGTGGGGAGGCTTAGCGGCTAGACCCTGCAAGAGAAAGGGTCTGTATGGTTTAGGCCAAGAGTTTAGGGCTTAGGGCGGCTTCCTGCGCACTACCAAGGTTCATGTGTAGGACGAGCAAGCGACACGACAGGAAAGATTGTTCACAGTTCAATGAAGGCCAGGTGTGCTTGTCCGGGAACGCTTTGGCAACAGTATGCCTACTGCTCAGGGAAGGGATTAGGTTTCTTTGCCAGAAGCTTTCGCACAACAATCCAACATGACCTTATCTCACGGGTCCAAGCAGTCAAGTATCGGTGTTCCAGGCCCTGAACCCTACATCTTTAACCCGAAGCCCAAAATCTTTAACCCAAAGCCAAAAACCTTAATCCAAGACCCTTATCTCTTTACCCTACCCCCTAAACCCTAAACAATGCAGATCTTTGCCTGGGGTACCGGTAACTAAAACCCGCTTGGCTTTCTGGGCGAGACTCTAGGTGATAAGGGAGGTGAATGAAACCTCCATTGAAAAGGGTCCAAACCGTTTAGGGTTTAGAGTTTAGGGTTTTCACCTGGAGCCCTAAATCCCAAACCCCGTAAGTACGGGCTTCAGGATCTGAATTCGGCCAAAGCCTTTACTTTGGGGACAAGCACCCAAGTGTTGGGGTCTTAGGTACCCAAAACAATACAGATTAAAGTATTTGGGACTTGAAGCGCCATGATTCGGACACGGGGACCTTTAGGGTATGTGGCTGCCTCGGACTGCTGAGGTCCTCTGGAATCTCGTAAAAATCAGAAGTTGGAATTTTGGCATATGCTGAGGTAAATCCTAGAGTCCATCATGATCGGAGCCCCGTGTCTTGCGACTGCATGGCGTCTGGCAACCTGTCTTTTTAGCATGCCGCCTGGCAAATCTTGAGTCCCACGTTTTTCTTAGTATCTGTCACTTCTTGTTTAGGCCTATCTTCATAGAACCATGGAAAACCCCTGAAACTAAAGAACCACATAAAGAGACCCCAGGTTGTTTGGTTCTTTTCATCTGCGGGGTCCCCTTCCGGGTTCCCCTAGGAGCTCGTGGGCTGCCAGGAAAGTGCCTTGCATGCGCCCTTGGCTTGGCGCCCACCTTTGGAGGTTGCCTGAACCCTCAAAATATGTAGAATCATAATCTTTTGCGCGTGTTAGCTCTAAACCCTTAGACCTACACCGGTTGTCTTTTTCCAATTCTGGGTCCTAGCAGAGGGAGCAGAGGTTTGTGGTTTTGCACGGGCTTCCTGGGTCGATGTTGGCGGTGTGGCCATTGCAAAGTCGAGAAGTCCAATACCACAAAGAATCCGAGAATGCTATATAATTACCCCCCAAGACCCCGCTCGTAAACATAAGCCCGGTAATCCTTGATCGGGTCCTCCAATGATCCCAACACAATCCCCACGTAATCCAAGTGTCCCCAGGAGTCTTTACTTGAGCACCTCCCTCAGCCCTAAACGTTGAACCCTAAACCCCCAGCCTTAATCTTGGCCACACCGCCGCCGAGGGAGGCTATGCGTTCCTGGCAGCCCACACAGTCTAGGGTATAGAGTTCAGGGTTTGAGGGTTTAGGATTCTAGTGCTTCGCCTGCTTCTGCGACCTGTATTAGCTCCACCACCACCAGTGCTGCCGCCCTCACCACCGCCATCGCCGCCACTACCGCCGCCGGCGCCAACACCACCGCCACCGCCACCGCCACCGCCACCGCCACAACGCCTGCGCAACCGGCTCCGGGGACGAGGATGAAGGTGAGGACGACAAGGACAAAAGGCGACGAGGACGACGGCAACAGCCAAAACAGGGGACGACGATGATTACCACAAAAGCTACATGAACTCCCAGTTCGAGGGATCTTTTGCCGATAGATACCAGAACCTTCACAGGCGCATGCGCGAGTTTACGTTCGAAAAAAGTCGGACTTGGTCCCAAGCAGGCGATAGGGTTGAGTGTTGGCAGCCTGCTTAAGTTCAGGGTCCCTACGTCTTGCCACAGAGGCCTCATTTTGGGGATGGAGAATTAACTGGAAAAGAACATGGAGAATGAAATGGCAACTGGGATACAAAAAGGGGCTGATACGGATTATGGTGTGTAGGGCCTCAACAGCTACGTACCAATATCATTCTGAGGTCTAATTAATCCCTACCCCTGGTACGAAATTCCCCTAATATTAAATGATAGATTCAGGTGCTTAAACATCCTGAAGAGCGTTTTTGAAAGGGCAAAATCATGTTCAAATAGGGCTACCTAGTGATGAGTTAGGGGAGTTATAACAATCAGCTATCCGTTACTTATTCGATTGATTGGTGCATGAAATAATCAATAATCTAAATGGGTTAAATGCTCAATTATTACTTAATGTGATTAAGTAATTTGTTGAATTAAATCATTACTGGTTTTCCATGGAGCTCAAAAGGATTTTAAAGGCAGCCCTAAATCGCTGAATAAATATTCCCCTGAAAATTAAATAATGTTCTGGGCGGGTGTAGGGTTTAGGGCTTAGGATTTAGGGTTCGAGATTTAGGTTTTAGGATTTTGGGTTTGGGATATGGGGCGTAGGATTTTGGCTTTAGGGTTTAGGGCTTCAGGGATAAGGGTTCGGAAGTGGGGCTGCGCTCTTGACGTGTCAGAGGCTAGCTATCAAACTTTCACATGAACTATAGGCTAAACTCCTTAAAGGGGGCTTATATAGGAGATTATTATTACAGGGGTTATTAAGGGATACTGGGAGTTATGACTATAGCTCACATGTCCTGGAGAAGCTTTTCCCTTCAAGGAACCTGTCAACTAAACCACTGAAGGAGGGTCCTTGATTATTAGCACCTGTCCCAATAAAACACAGAGTTTAAGGTTTTTGTCCGCATTGTCAATGCTCCCTGTGCTAGCCCAAATCTATGTAGGTACCTCTTAACATTTAGGGAGTGGGCGGGTGCGTCATGTGAGGGTAAGCGACTGCTGTTTTTTTGCTGGCTGCTGCTTGGCATTTTAGCCAATGACGTGGTGCAATCTTCTCCACGCAAGGATGGATGCGGTCGTCTGCAAAGAATGGAACTCCAGTAGGGGTCTTGAAGAAAAGGTGATAGTAGCTGGTTCCTTCTTGTCAGTCCATGTTCTAAGCTTGCTTTGTGTATCTTGTTAGGCTTCAACATGCAACCAGTTAGGGGCATGATTCAATAAAGAGCCAACCATTCTCTTGGCAGTACCCAAGATACATCAACACTGCAAGTATCGATAGTTGTCCTATCTGAGGTCATTAGCGCAATTGTTTCCAGCCCTCCTGCCATCATGCATTCTACATGATGTGGCCTTCCTACATCCTGCTACCAATGCCACTATTACAACTCTGAAGCCCTAAGCCCTAGACCCAAAACCTTAAACCCTAAATCCCGAACGCTGCAGCGACGACATCCTAAAAGAAAGACCTTCTTCAAGGAATGGTCAATCTTCTTTTGGCGGGATGCTATACTCCCGCTCCCCACCCCCTACTCACGATTTTGCCTCTTGGGTTTATAAGGGCTTTGGGTTAATGCCTAATTAGAGCTTCTTTAGTACCTATTTGACGTATAATAAGTATAGTATAGTATCCCACATTTCATGTCTTGCCCCAACTGTGGACCCTAGGGATACATAGGGAATATAGGAGGTTCCAGCCGTTCCTACTAAGGATTTCATACGGGGTTGCTTTCATAAACTCCTTGAACCCTAAACCTTAAACCCCAAAAGCCAAGAGCCCTAACCCCTGAACCCAAAACCCTAAACCCCCAAAGCCAAGAGCCCTAACCCCTGAACCCAAAACCGTTGCGGGCTGTTGGGCCGACAACCGCAAAGGCATCACTTGCACTACGGATGCTACAGGGGACGCGTTGGAGGTGGGAATATAGGCATTCCAAAAATCTAAATGTTTGGGGATTGACAGGGAGTATGATACGGATCCACGTCCCCACTCCCCCTCAAGCACCGGTGCGCCACTTACTAGATGAACGTTATCTTTTGGATACTGCCCGTGCCTTGTAGCCACCCTTGTAAGAGAGCATGAGGATTCAGGGCGTACATCTTCATCATTTTGGGATCGTAGCTACAGCCCTTGTGAAACTACACGGAATGGGGGCAGCATCCAAATCTTCTGGGTTTCTCCAAACCAAGGGGTCCCTCAGAACACTACCATCTTGCGTTGGACTTAGTAAACAGCAGAAACAGCAGCACAGGACCCATTGGTTTGAGATACCCAGCGCTGACATGAACAGTCCCGGAGACGCAGCACTTCGGGAGGGCCGCACAGAGCCCCAACAGCTAGGAAAAAACCTGCAAGCTGCACGTAAGGCATGAAGGAATAGATCCCTATAGAATCCAGTTTGGGGTCCAGGTTTAGGAAGCCCATATCTGTGATCCCCAATGATATGGTAGCTTCCCTTCTCCTGGGCCAATCCCTTCAGTCCCTACGAACAAGCAGCAAAGGAAGTGGTTTCGCCAACTTTGTCAGAAAGCCACAAGCCTCGTGCGAGGGTTTGAACCCAAGCTCTAGAACTCATCAGACAATGGAAATGACCCAAAGGAGGGTTTCCCAAAATTAGGGGTACCTTTGAAGGGGTTCCTATAGTAAGGGTTGTACTATTTGGGCATCTGTATTGGGGTCCAGCTATTGAGGGAACTACCCAATCTAGATCGTACGCACACCCTGAACCCTAGACCGCGCTGTCAGAAGTCGAACATGATGGCGTTCCCATCGTCTCCAGCGCATACAAGGCCTGACCCAGCATCAGGGGTTCGTGGTTGCAGGGTTTCCCTTAGTTAGCATGAGTAAGCCGACCCGAGGGAGAGTCGTGGGCGGCGGGCGGCTGGTAGGATAGGATGGTAATTACTGGTACTATGACTATGAGTACTATTACTAGTACCAACTACTATTATTACTATTACTTTTACTATTACTATGACTATTACTATCATCCTCGTTACTATGACTACTATTGAATAGGTTAGGGAACCCGTTACGCGTCACCAGGCTTAAGGCATTTGGTCACGTTCAGGGCGTCTAGGGGTTGAGCAAAGGTTGTTACAGCCTCCTATCCATGCTGTGAATACCCTAAACCCTAAACTTTAAACTTTTTTTGGGAGGAGGGGAGGCTTGGGGTTAGGGCCTAAAACTGAATCCCGATTAGCGCGGTTTGAAACATCTGGACAACCTATTGGATTTGAGGGGTCCCAATAATCTAAAGTTTATTCTGCTGGAAAAATTCGGGAAGGTTTTGCTATAGGTTTGATATAGGTCTTAAAAGCCAGGCCCTTAAACATGAAGGCCGAGGGCCCTGCCTTTCCTATTCTCTAGAAAGCTAAACTGAGCAAGTCGTTATGAATTCAAGCAATCGCTGAAAGATCCCTCTCTCCGTATTGATTTTAATTGTAGCGATAGGCTCCCCCAGACCCCCAATTCGCTTTGAAGCCTTCGTATAATGGAGGCTCCCCTTTTTGTTTGGGGGGGGCACACTAATCAGGCCCCAACATTAGTGGAAAGGATTCAAGTTAATGACATATCAAGATTTCAGTCAAGACATACGTAAACAGAAACAAACATCAGCTTGACCATGGCAAGCAGGATTGCACAAACGCTTACAACTGGGGATTTCCTCGAAGCTCTCCCCGTTACATCCTTCACCGCGGGGATCCCTACGAACCCTAAACCCTGAATCGTATTGCCTACAGTTTGCGTGACCTCGCCTTTATTGCCCTTAACCAAATCCTGAGGTCTAAGCATTGATCAAATCTCATGAAGAAGCTTGAACATTTGCGAATTTAGGAACCAGGCCTTAAGGTCCCAGTTTCCTTGTAAATTCCATGAGAAGAATACCGGAAATACGCCACAAAAGGGTGTTAGCAGCTGTGCAGGCTTTTCAACATTGGCCCTTAACCCTGAACCATAAACGGTTTTGAAATCTGTCCCAGCGGCATGAATCTGTTGCTGCCATGCATCGGATGGCATTTTGCCTAGCAGAGGGACGCGTTTGGATAAGGACAGCGGGAACAGTGGGGATCTCTGCGTAATTTGATGTTGTTAGGGCAGGCTTTAGGCTTTGTCTTGGTGGCCGCTATGCTTTTTGCATGAGGTTTCAGGCAAAGGCAGAGTACAGAAGGACTTCACAATACAAAGCCCAAAGGGCTCATACAGCTACATCCGGGTTCCCAACCAAACCTTAAACCCTCAACCCTAAACAAGGGTTCAACTCTTGCAAGCTCTTGTAATGCATCACTACGGGCACTTCTAAAATCGAGGGTCCCTGGTGTGCCTAGACCCTGGTCTGTAAATCCTATAGACCCTGAACCCTAACCCAAAGTCCGCATGCAATATCATAGCATGTCGGACCAGGTGCCCACCAACCGCGGGATTCTCTGTTTTGCTGAGGTTCAGGGTTAAGGGTTTGGGCTCAGGTTTTGGGATCTAGGGCTTGGATTTAGGGCTTCGCACCGTCACCCCTTCTATTTGTTCCGTAGGCTAACTCCAAGTATCCCGCAATATCCCTACCTCAGGGTTA